CAGAGAGGAACAGGTACAGTACAGTATAGGTACAGACATGTTGACTGGACAAGCTGGGAATCGAACCCCTAATCCTCCGGTTAGGAAACGACCCACTCTACCACAGCCACCCCCAATCATTGCTTGCACTGAAGTCAGCCATCTGGGTCCGCCTTTCTTTGCTCACTCACTCTCCCGTGTACGAGCAAACATAACAGCCAGAAGTCGTGCCACAAAGAAACGCTCTGGTGGAAGTAGTGCAATGACTCCTGCCATGCCAGGTATGATGGGTTTTATCAATTGTATCCAAAAATACAATATGGACAAAATTTAAGTTAATAGAAGATGCAACGTATAATGTGATTTTTTTTTCCGTTTCTCTTGTTTTTTGTCGTGTAAGTGAAAATGTTTAAAAACAACTTTACATACATCCTGAAACTTCACAATTTAACATTCATGCCAGGAACCTGTTCCAGCAGGCAGTTTAAATTCATAGATTTTTATACACTGGTCCATGATCTTAAGTGTGTGTCAGGTTTTAATCAGCAGGATCATTCCGATGCCTTTGTAACCTGCTTCTCAACAGGCTGCTGGACTTGGACTGATTCTGTGTGTATCTCTTTTGTTTCCTCATCAGGGAGAAAATGCTACAGACTAGTTGTTATGAGTTTTGGACTCCTCTGTATCCTACAAGCTGCTCTTAACATTTCACTACGTCTTCTGCTCTGTGAGTCGCTTGTGTTTCTACTTTTACGCAGTATAGTGTCCACACCTTTTTGAAATGCACTATTTTTATAAGACCAGGAGGAGAACGTAGTGACCACCATAGTCTGACTGTTACAATCACTTTAGAGGAGTGTTATCAAATGTATTTGTCTTAATATACATGTTTACTGTGAAGACTTAATGAATGATAACATAGGAACGCCTTATTATGTGTAACTGTGGTTGTGATTTCATGCTCAGTCACAGTTTTAGTCCAAATAAGTAAAATTCAGTACCGCTGTCATTCTAGATATATGTTGCAAAGGAAGGTGTGGTTGGCTGACATACAAACAAACAGAATCACAAGTTTGGGGAGATTTTAGATTCAGAAACAATCACAAAGCATAAAAGCAATACAAGGGATCTGATGTGAACGTGAGAAGAAGAGTGGGACGTCTTGGGTAGTTCAAGCTTCATGTTTGCCCTTATAATAAAATGAAACAAGTCACAACTTTCAAACTG